TGCAATTACGTGCTATGCATCGGAGAGTTGGACAGTAAATAGGGATGATAGAAAGGCAATTGATGCCTTTGATCTGTGGTGCTGGAGAAAAATGTTGAATATACCATGGACTGCTAGGAGAACAAACAGGTTTGTCTTGGAGAGGGGAAGCCAGCATGCTCCTTGGAGTCAAGGATTCTGAAGTTTCATCTGACATACTTTGGGCATGTTGCAAGAAGGGACTGGTCCTTGGAGAGGGACATCATGTTTGGCAGAGTGGAGGGGCAGTGCAGGAGAGGAAGTCCTTTGATGAGATAGATCACTTCTGTGACTGGAGTGGTGGGAATGAGTGTGTTTGAGATGGCTAGGGTGGCACAGGATAGAATGACGTTTAGAGCTCTTGTACATAGGGTCACTATGAGTTGCAAGGGACTTGATAGCACATAACAACAACAACAACAACATATTCCTTTTGTACAGTTCTTTCCCTCATCTGTTTCAATGCAGTGTTTATCTCCTCTTTTCTTAGTTTTATCCCAACCCCCATGTCAATCCTGTTTTTTGCAGTATTTGTGCTTTTGTGACTGAGATATTTCACTCAGCATAATACCCTCCAGGGTCACCCATTTTGTATAATATTTTATGAGTTCCTTATTTATCAGTGCTGCATAGTATTCCATTGTGTGAATATGCCACAGCTTTTCTATCCATTCATTCATGGACACTTTGGTTGTTTCCATCTTTTTATTATTGTAAACAAGGCAACAATAAGCATAGGTGTGCATCTATTAGTTTGGATGGCAGTTCTGATTTCTTTAGGGTGTATTCCCAGTAGTGAAATTACTGGATCAAATGGTATTTCTATTTCCAACTTTTAGAGAAGGTGCCATCCATACTGCCTTCCATAGTGGTTGCACCATTTTACACTCCCACCAACAATGAATATTCAGATTTTTGAGAGATAAGACATGACCAATGCACTAATCAAATGTAACAATTCATCCTTATCCATCTAGTCTTAGTTACTTATCCTTATCTATCCTTTCTGTTTCGGGATACCATCCCAGTGTTCTTTGCTGGACCACATGGAAACCTCAAAAACTTCCTTTTACCCTCAACATTTTATACTTAACCAAATGACTGTATCTTTCTCTTCTCCCCTAATTGCCAACCTAGGTCTTCTTGTTGGTTCTAAGTAAAATATGCATCCAGTCTTATTCTTTGCACAAGGATGCACCAACTCAAGACACAGTGCAGTCTTTGAGTTACACCTACCCAAAAAGGATGCTGTTTTCTAATTCTGGTAAAGTTATGCTGGTGAAGCTCCACCACTTTATTTTAGAAACAAAATATTTTATCCCTTGGAATGGAAGCTGTATCTTTCATTTAATCCTTTATGCATTTCAGAACTCTCTTTGAAATTTAGAATAAGAATGAAAATTTTGTATGGTCAATATTGTCATTCAAATCTGTTTCTGTAATAAAAATATTTGCCTCATTAGAAATAAGAGGGTTTTCTAGATTTGATTAATATCAGTTGCTATTATCTCTTATTTTTCAAAGTACATTTTGTGGAATACTGCTGATGGCAATGGGGTGGGTATTGTTGTTTGTATGCTTACTTTAGTTATGAGATGTAAATAGGTATTGGATGAATATAGGGTTATTTGGTTAAATTCATTTGGGAATGCATAGAAGTTCCTTTACTTCAGGATTTCTCATTCTTTTTTTCCTTTAATTTTATATAGGTTTATTTACAAAGTTTTGAATACATTGTTTTTCACACTGGATCTTTCCCATTTCCTTCACATACACACCTCCCCTCCCTGATCAAATTGTGCACGATGATTAACCTCCCCATCCTCACGCTTCTGCTTCCACCCTCCCAGATCTTCATACTCATTCTGCAATAATGGTTTTATACAGTATTTGTCCTTGTGGGATGACTTAGTTCACTCGCATCATGCTCTCCAGTCTCTCCTAAGTTAGATAGTTAATTTACAAAATCATTGCTCCTGCATGCTGTGTAGTATTCCATTGTGTAAGGTTTCTCATTTCTTTTAATATTCTACCTGCATTGTGAACCTCCAAGCTGACACCAATACAAATAACATTATTTGGAAGAACTTGTTGTCAGTGGAAGATCCGTGCGTGTCACAAATGGTCTATGCTCAAATGTAACCTAAGAGTTAACTTATATCTAACCCAACAGCAGCACAGAAGAGAAGTCTGGTGATTGGCTGCTGTACAGATTACAGCCAAAAAAATGCTCTGGACTAGTTCCACTGTATAACCTAATGGATCATCACAAGCTAGAATTGACGGCAACAGGTATTTTTTAAATTGCCGGTAGAACACTAGTTTAGGAAATGATCTACTTGTTATACACCTCAAAGAAGCACTGTAATAAGTAATACAGTGCAATTGTCCCGTTTTCAAGATTAGAAATAGTATCTGGGGCAGGTGAGAGGATTTGCTCAAGAATTAACGGAACATTAGTTACAAAGCCAGAACTAGAACTCAGAAGAACCTTCAATCTACTACCATTATTTTAACATATTTAGATCTCTATGTGCACTGATTCTGATTCAGGATCCCCAGTGGCTTAGTGCATTACATAACGGGCTGTTAACCAAGATAAGAAGTTTGTATTTACCAGGTGCCCCAAGAGAGAAAGATTGATAATCTCTTCCCTTAAAGATTATCCTGCATAAGTCAATTATTGTGAAAAATAGAAGAATAGGAAGCTTGATATATAGGCTATCAGATCAAGGACAAGACAGTGGGAGATGGATGTTGAAGGGAGTCGGTAGAAGTGGATGGGTATCCTGGTGGATGGTGGAGCAGGGAAATAAGTGGGTAAAGACACGTGTGCCAAGAGCAGGGATAACACTGATACAAATGGTTAACCCCACAATAAGGGATATATCTTTCATTTTTCTGTAAAATGCTGGTCTGTCTGATTCGTCTCTATAGCTGAACATTCAGACTAAGACAGACTAGGAAGAAGGATTGGCCATCCACTTCTGAAATAGCAGGCCTCCGAAAACCCTACGTACAGGTCAAGGACTGCAGCCTCCAATATGGATTGAGGCTCAATGTCAAGAAGACAAAGATTCTCACCACTGGGCCAATTGGCAGCATCAGGATGAATGGTGAAGAGATTGAGATTGTTCACAGCTTCAGTTTGCTTGGTTCCACAGTCAACACTCTAGGCACCAGCAGACAGGAAGTTAGAAGACGTATTGCCATGGGAAAGTCTGCTGTTAGGGACCTCTCCAAAGTGCTGAAGAGCAATGGTGTCTCTTTGGAGACTAAGGAGCGCCTGATACAGGCCATGGTCTTTGCTACCACTTGTTATGCATCAGAGAGTTGGACAATGACTAAGGAGGATAGAAGGAGAATTGATGCCTTTGAGTTGTGGTGCTGGAGAAGAGTATTGAGGGTACCATGGACTGCTAGGAAAACAAACAGATTCGTCCTGGAAAGTGTCAAACCGGGCTGCTCCTTGGAGGCAAGGATTCTAAGGCTCTGTCTGACGTACTTTGGACATGTTGCAAGGAGGGACAGGTCCTTGGAGAGGGACATCATGCTTGGTAGGGTGGAGGGACAGCACAGAAGGGGTAGGCCCCCATGAGGTGGATTGATTCAGTAGTTGGGGTAATCGAGGTGGGTGTGTCGGAGACGGTGCAATTGGCACAGGACAGAGCAGAGTTTAGGGCTGTTGTACATAGGGTCGCTATGAGCTGCAAGCGACTCGATGGCACATAACAACAACAGCAACAACAACAATAGGTGGATAAAAGTCCAAAAGGGATAGGGGAGGGTGACAGGGGGCCTACGGTAGAAGGCAGGAATCACAGGGTTGCAGAGATTAGTGGGCAGAGGCAGGGGATGAAAGAATTAACATAGATCTAGTGGGCACCTGAAAAGATGGGGTGCTAGTGGGTATAGATGAGTGATGAGTAATTTTATAAAACACAGTATATGGAGATGATAGTATAAAACACAATAAGAATGAAGAAATGTGTGAAGCAATGTATATGAATTTTGTATGCAAACCAATATAAAATTTAAAAACGTACATTAAAAATATAGTAAATAGGTTTTTTATACCCTTGTTGTTATGTGCTGCCGAGTCACTTGAGACTCATAACGACCCTATGTACAACAGCCCTAAACCCTGCTCTATTCTGTGCCAACCTTATTGTCTCTGACACACCTAGCCCCATTACCCCAGTCACTGAATCGATCCATCTCATCGAGGGTCTTCCTCTCTTGCGCTGTTCCTCCAACCTCCCAAGCATGATGTCCCTCTCCAAGGACCGGTCCCTTCATGTATGCCCTTGGTGACAGAATTAATCTTGTATAGATTTATATAAAATAAGTGCATTTGACAACAGAGGAAACTGAATATACAAGCTTCCTTTCTGTGAAATTGTGTTCTGAAATATCTAACCCAACATCTTGCACAGTGGTGGTCCCAGGAAGCAGTTTCTAAGAACTCTTTTCAATCATTTATTTAGACTGAAGAATGTTGACTTAAGAAAGAAATACCACTTGCTGTGAAACCACTTCTTAAAAAAAAAAATAGAAAAACCATAGTACAATGCCACATTTATTGAGAATTTTAAAAAGTCCAGTAGCCCAGTATCATTGAGTAAACCCAAAGAAAATTACTTCTTCACTAAAGATGAGATGGAAAATTTCATAAAAATCTAAGTCTCTATGTACTGTGGAGTTTGGAAATATTTCTAATACTATTTATGATAAAATCACACATCACTTCTCAAATTTTTGGACTTCTGTTGATATCCAGTTGCATGAAAGAGTCTTGATCTTTCCTTACATGTTAATTTATATCCATGGGAAATTTTGTAGTTCTTTTTCCAGTTGGGTTATGGACACTGGAACTCGGTGGATTCTATGTTGGTTGGGTGCTCAGCTAGTTGTAACATTCTTTCCCCCCTATGATTCTTATCAGAAGGAGGTTTACAGCAGGTGGGCTCAGAGCAGATGGGTTAGCAGCAGTAGCAGCAGCAGGCAGGGCGGCAGCAGGACTGTCCACAGTAGGATGGACGGCAGCAGGAGGCCTGGGCATGGTGCAGCTGGCAGCATGTTGGGGGGGTGCAGCTCACCACACAGCAGGGGGGCAGGCAGGTGCCCTCCACTCTGCAGTCTGGGCGGCACCACCTGACACGGCAGGTCATGCCTCCACAGCCACCCTCTTGGCCACAGCCGATGCCACTGCCAGTGCCACAACAACTGGTCTGGCAGCAGGTAGGTTGGCAGCAGCTGGTCTCACAGCAGCTTGGCTGGCAGCAGCTGGAGCCACAGGTCCCGCCGGTGGAGCAGCTGGGGAACCCACAGAAGCTGGTGTGACAGCAGGCCATAGTTCAGGAGTCAAGCTGAGAGTTGGGTTGTTGAGAGAAGTGTCTGCGTTTTGGCTGTGACTTCCAGCTCGGACCTTTTATAGCTCTTGGCCAGCTCCTTTGTTTGTGACAGACACATTTTTGTCAAGTTACTGTTCAGCTTTCTAAGGCCTTCTGATTATTCAAATATTGAGTTATTTTAAGTATGTTTCCAAATTAGTTTTTCTTTATTGCTCAGCTAATACTCACAAAATGTGTTCTTCCTTAGAAAAAAAATGTTAATGTTTCATTTTCAAACGATGCTGTAATTTCTACTCCAACCTCAGCCTCAGTTCTGCCCTTGTGGTCAAATCAGCTGAGCAGGTGACTCTCATACCTGAGATCCTGTGGGTTGAGGGGTCATGTTCACCAAGCTCATTACAGAGGGAAAACAACCACTGGGGCTGCCTTTCATGCAAGAATATCTTTATTTTTATTTGTTAAGATTTGATTATAATCTCTATAATGAGCCAGATAGATACTCTTGATAGATCTTGTATTCATAGAAATGTTGAGAATTTTTAGCTGTACTCTCTCCTACACTTCAGAAATTCAATCTTGAGGAAGCACTTATCACAGGAAAGCCTTTTCCATGTCAATTCACTGTGGATAGTCTGTTAACATATATTTTAAAAGATGGGCTATACAGTATTTGTCCTTATGGGACTGAGTTATTTCACTTGGACCATTATTGTAGAGCATGTACAAAGATCCAAGCCAGGGAAGGGAGCAGAAGTGTTAGGATGGGGGAGGGGGTGCTTAATCATAGGATCACACAATTTGATAGTTGGAGGGAGGGGTGGGTAAAGAAAAGAGGAATGATTTGCTTTGAAAAACAAGGTATATGAATTTTGTAAGTAAACCACTATAAAATAATTTTTTTTAAGAAAAAGATAATCTAAACTTCCTATCTAGTAATTGGAAAAAATAATCAAATTTTAAATGGAGCTGATATTTATCTTTGAAAAGAAGAAAGAAATCACCATTATATGTTTTATTTGGTCAGTATTTACAAAAGTGGAATTTCTTTTCAATTATTTTTTGGTTTTTTAAATTTATTTTTATACTGCTTTACTTAAAAAGTTCGTATATATTTTATTTTATGTCATATCTTGCTAATGTTACCATATATCTAGTGTCCTGTGGAAAGAGAAACAATGAAAGAACCAAGAATCAGAAAATATGTCTTCTGGATCCCTGTGGAAATGGATGAACAAATATAATTCAATAGCTATAAAAGCAAATAGAATTAAATTTGAGGAAAGTAGAAATGAAAAGAATTTGGTGGCTGCCAAAGAAAGCATGTATTTTTCCATTGGATGTTTGGGGCAATAAAGGGAAAGTTGAAGGGGTGGGGGCGGGGGAAGATGGCCAAAAGAACATATTATTATGACATATCCTGGGATTTTTTTTTCCTTCCTGCTATCCATGAATAGAAACATAGAGATTTTTAAGACAATAAGGTATTGAAATTTTACAGTAATAAAATTAAATTGAAATATGATTTATGTAAATTGCAGTAAAGATATTCATATGGCAACCATGACTATAGGTATGGAATTGGAAAATAGCTATATGAAATTGTTGAGTATTGAAGATCAAAGGAATTTAGTAAATGACCTTGTCTAACCACTTAACTTTATGGATGTAGAAGCATTACTATTAGAAATATGTCATGCTTTTGTTTAATCCTATTATTAAAACAAAGACCTGAAAAGTTAAGCAGAAAGTCAGATTCAATTCCCTTGTCAAGTGCATAAGTCAGTATTAGTGCAAAGAGAAGAGATTAATAAGGGCAAAGAGTTCAGTATAGATTCAGCCTCAAGGTGCTAAATTAGAACATTGCTATTATACTGTAAACTAGTGCTAATTTCCCTTTAGCCTCAATTAATGTTAGAATAAGCTTAAATCAAATGGTGCAACCACTATGGAAGGCCGTGTGGCACTTTCTCAAAAAGTTACAAATAGAGATACCATTTAACCCAGCAATTCCACTACTGGGAATATACCCCAAAGAGACCATAACTGCCACCCAAGCATGTATATGCACACCCATGTTTATTGCGGCTTTGTTCACAATAGCAAGGAGGTGGAAACAACCTAAGTGCCAATCAACAAACAAATGATTAGAGAAGCTGTGGTATATTCACACAATGAAATACTATGCTGCATTGAAAAACAAGGAACTCATGAAATATTATTCAAAATGGGTGACCGTGGAAGACATTATACTGAGTGAAATATCTCAGTGACAGAAGGAAAATACTGCATAATACCACTGTTTGTTGTAAAACAGGACTGACATTGGGGTTGGGGAGAGACTGAGGAAGAGGGGATAAATAATGCATACTACATTGAAACAGATGATGGAGAAAACGATTTAAAAGGGATATGTGATTAGGTAATATATTGTCATGATAGGAGTCTAGAACGAAGGCTACACAGTGGAGTGACCTGGGGGGAGGGATTGTAAAACAATGAAAGAATTTTTCCTTTTACTTTTCAAAGAGAAGAGTGTACTGGGGGTGGGGGGGCAGGGAGAGAAGTGCAACAATGAATGAATGGAAATCCAAAGTCTCTGTAAATTTTCATTAAAATGAATAATAATAAAAAAAGAATAAGCTTAAACCTGGGTATGGCTACTACTGTGTAGATTAAATAACATTTGCTCTTCATCACAGTACCCAACTAGGAGATCTAGGGATAAAAGTTCTATCCCTTATTCCTAGGACAATTTTTTTTTATGCCTTGCTGTTTTCTAGGATAAGTCAGTACAAGTGAATCTTTTTTTAAAATTTACACTAGTTTCTTTACAAAATTCAAATATATTGTTTGAGAGAATAGGTCCTTTCAATTTCTCTCACACACACCCCCCACCCATCAAATTGTAGTACCCATGATTAATCCCCCTCCCCCTGCACATCCTCATCCCTCTGCTTCCACCATCTCCTGTCCCTCTTGGATGCTTATACTCATTCTACAATAATGGTTTTATACAATATTTATCCTTGTGGGACTGAGTTAGTAAACTCAGCATAATGCTTTTACACACACACACACACACACACACACACACACACACATATATAAAATACTTTTCATATTTTTAAAATAATGATAGTTCGGATGTTAGCGGCTGCGCTATGAGTAAACTATATAGTGTTGTTGGAGTTCTGGTGGGTTAGTGGTAAGGAGTTGTGCTGCCAACCCAAAGACATATGGTTTGAAACCAGGAGCTGCTCCATGGGAGAAAGATGAGAGTAATCTGTACCCTGTGTGTTTTATTGATTCTGAAAATCCACTGGAGGGTCAACTATGAATCAATTTTGACTCAGTGATACACAACAACAACAGTGTTGTTGGTGCTGTCCAGTTGACTATGACTCATAATGGCCCTGTGAATGATAGAGCTGACTCTTGCTCTAGGCTGCACCATTCTCAGGATTTCCACCACATTGAGCCAATTGTTAACAATCATTGTGCCAATTCACCCTGTTGAGAGTCTTCCTCTCTTTTGCAGACTCCAACTAGGACTTTTGCAGTATCCAACTGGGAGATCTGGGGATAAAAGTTCTATCCCTCATTCCTAGACTAATTATTTTTTTTTAATATCATTCTACTTTCTAGGATAAGTCAGTGAAAGTGAATCTCTTCTGTTTTATGACAATTAGTTGTCATAAAACAAAGTGATAGCCAAGCACAATTAATTTAGGACTGGTCCCTCCTAATAACATATGTCAAAGTACATGAAATGAAATGTCAGCATCCTTTAGGAGAGCCCTGACTGCACTTCCTTCAGTGCAGATTTCTTTGCTCTTTTGGCAGTCCACAGGATATTCGATATTCTTTGCCAATGCCATAATTCAAAGATAACAATTCTTAGGTCGTCCTTATTCATTGACCAACTTTCAGAGGCATAGGAAGCAGCTGAAAATACCATGACTTGGGTCAAGCATACTTTAAACTGCGGTCCTTGACAGGTGATTTTTCTCAATGCAGCACATCTTTTACTTTCTTGACTGTGGCTACTGTGGATGTTAATTGTGCATTCAAGTAAAACAAAATCCTGGACAACTTCAATCTTTCCATCATGAGGTTGCCTGTCATAGGTTGTTGATGAGTCTTCCTCCAACCTGGATGCCATATTCATTATAGTTCAGCTTCTGGAATTATTTGGTTATAATCTTGAGACACACATTCCCTGATTTTAAACCATGCGATACTCCCTTGATCCTTTTGTATAGTTGCTTCTTGGTCTATGTATAGGTTTCACATAAGCACAATTAAGTATTCTGAGTTTCACATAATTTGTTATGATTCACACTGTTAAATGTCTTCATATAGTCACTAAAACACAAGTAAATATTTCTCCCCCAATTCCCAAATATATGACTATTAATTGTCATACACATGGTTTTGATTTTTCCATTGCTTTGAGAATGCCCTTCCTTTCTCTCATTCCAGTGCAGTATTCGTTATTTATCCAGTCTTTTCCTGCTCTCTCCCTCTTCCACTATCTTGATCGTATTATTGCAGTTATAGGCTTATTCAGCATTTGTTGCTTTGTGACAGAGATATTTCACTCAGCATAATGCCTTCCTTTCTTAATTTTAAACCATGCAATGTTCTCTTCCCACAATTTCATCTGTTGCTACTGTCCATTATACCCACTCATCTTGTTTTCTTCATTCTATTTTTATCACCATCATCTTAATTTAAGAGATCTGGTGCTGCCAGTGCAAAGGTGCACGGTTTGAATCCACCAGCTACACCATGGGAGAAAGATGGCCAGTTCCTTTCCATGTGATTTACTGCCTCTGAATACTCTTTAGACAGTCAGCTGTGGGTTAGTTCTGACTTGATGGTACACCACCACCACACAACAACAACAAAAACAACAATAGCTATTTATTCTAAGGAATGAGTTCATCTTTGGTGCTGTTGTTTATCTCTTAGACTTCTCTTTTCTTTGATTGAAAAAC